TGACCATTGGCTTTTCTTTTTAAACCTTCAAACATCTCTTGGCACAAGTTGGACCACGTGAAAACAATCGCGGCCTCATCGCCCACGAAAAGCTGCTGAAGCCCTGGTTTCAGTCATCCTTGACCAAAAACAGATCCTCTACTAGAACAAGCAAACCACAACAACATGCGGGTCTGTCGCTGAATGGGGGAACCCAAAAATTGTATCTTTTCCATTTAGGTGTCCATTGATTCGACCTCAACAAGGGGGCTCCCTCCAAAGAAAAGACCTACCCGTGTCCGAGCCCTGCCTCGTTGGGTTCCACGTTTGCGGACTGCATTGCTGCCAGCAGGCCGACAGGCTCTGCCCAACGGCTGTCGCGGCCACAGGCACTGATCACCTCGGGCCGGGATGATGAAAAGGGGGTACTCAAAGCATTTAAACAATTTTGCTGAATTTTGCCCCTTGCATTATGTGAAAAGAAGTGAAGATGCAGTATGTAAAAAGAAGAAGCAAAGATGAAGCACGATTCGAGAAGGTTCGAGACTTATTAGTTCATCCCATGCTGAAAACGACAAGTTTGCACACGCAGCTTGCAGTCACCACTTGTATGTTTTTCCTGCCGGAAGGCTCGACTGACAAGACTGGCCCAACAAGAGCATAACTTCTGCACACTGCTCAGAGACAGTATGTCTTATGCTGCAAGTTTACCCAAGGGTTCCCAATGTCCATGAGGTTTTCGAAGCTCGAGGAGCCCAGCATGGCCTTGGAACACATGCGCTTACACCGGTTCCCACATGCAACCAGCTTGAAGGCTCAGCGCCAGCCGGGGCGGCAGTTTGCATGCTCTGTTTTGCTCGAATTCGAATTCGAACACACTATGACATGCTAACCATCTCGAACAAAGCGCTGGCATAAATGTGTGCTTGGCGAAATTGGCAGGTAAACACGTACGTTGCCGCACCCATGGACAATGCACCTTCTTGTAGAGGGAAACAACATGTGTTGGGGCCAGGGTGTGCCTGCCTGTCACCTTTCTTGGTGGCAAAATTGAGGATTGCCCCAATTGTGCAGGAACCAACCCCTCGGAGAATGAGGGGGGTCGTTTCATTTATTCTCTCTACAGCGGGGTTCAACAAACCCGGGCCAGGTCGCCTGAGTGAAAGTGAAGACATCGGGCTGCTGCTTCATCCGCGGCAGCTCGTCGAGGAGCTTCAGCGCGCAAAGGGCTTGCCTCTGAGCCCCAAGGCTGCCAATGAGAACCTCATCGAGAGGCCATAGGCATGAGAGGCCATGCGGGCAAAAAAAAGTGGCGGCCAATACGGCCGGCAAGACGTCTGGTCATGACATACCCGTGATTCCTGTGTTTTGGTGGAGACGCTTGCTCCGCTGCTGCCCCCCTCACCTAAGAAAACTTGTTCCCCAAACCTCCAGCACTTGTAGGAAAAACGCAAACTGCAAAAGCTGTTGAAGACTCCTGCAATTGCTGTTGCAAGCTTGAGGGGCAGGCGGCACGCACGGAAGGACCAACCCGCTGCAACCAAGGGGCGTTGTAGGTGTTGATGCGTGGCTGCAGCTGCTGTGCCCCCAGCGCCCTCAGCAGCTGAGGCGCTTGTTCCCAGGGCACTTTCCTCAGACAGCAACTCATCCGGCAGAGGTCTGTGTGCAAAAGGGATCCGCAAACGTGCCCAGCCCATCATCTGAGCATGTTGTGACCGTTAGATGCGTGCATGACGTGCGTGTGTGTGGTGCCTGCGTGCGTGCTGTCGTGCGTTCGTTCGTGCATGGTGTGAATTGTCTGCCAGCCCGCACAACATGTCTGGCTGAGGACAAGCGCCGTTTGAGAGGAATGCGAGACATCGCTCGAGCAAACTCGCAACAAAAGTATGAAAAGACTCTGCCCATGTCTACTGTTGCCTGCAAGGTCTGCAATGCAAACCTTACAGCTCACAGTGGCTGTCTTAGCAATGACCCGAAAAGAGTTGACCCTTGAAGACTGTGGCGAGCATAGATTTCATGCTGGCTTTAACTAGGAGTTCATTCTGCCCCCGACGGTTCCTGCTTGCTCATGAAAAGGCTCCTACTCCCCATGTTTTGCTGATCCATCCCCCTTGCGGTTTCCAGAAAGAATGGCAAACTGCCAAGCTGGGCGAATTCATCTCCGCACCCACCCTGGGGCCGTCCCGTCATTGAATTAAAACACCTGACCATCCGACAGTATCCAACGATCAGCCAACCTTGTGTTGAAAGGTTGCTGTTGCAACTTGGCAATGTGGTTAGTTGGTTGGTTGGTTGGTTGGTTGGCTGGCTGGCTGGCTGCCTGCCTGCCTGCCTGCCTGCCTGGGTGGCAAAAAAGCTGCGCAGCGGTTGTGGCATTCGAACCCGGGAGTCTTGAGCTGCGTGGTGCGGAACACCAGGTCCGGCTGGGCGTTTTGGGCGCGCAACGTATCGAGCAGCTGCAGAGCAGAGGGCCATTGCTGCCACCGCAGCTGGGCCAACTGCTGTGTGGCCCGCCTGGGAAGGGAGAAAGCCTAAACAATGCGCCGTGTCCAGACACGTTTGTCGTTGCAATGGGAGTCAGTAGTGCCAAGGCCTTCGTTTTTTGTGTGTCTAACCCAGTAACCAAGTTTGCCCCAATTTTGCCAATGCCAGGGGTCGATGCCCGGCCTCAAATCCGGCGGGCCAGGTCTCTGGCTCATCGGCAGCTCCCATGGCTACGCCATGGCTACGCCATGGCTTCATTCATTTTTCGTTCTTTGTTTGTTTTTTTTTGTTCTGTGTGTGTGCTGCAAAATTGTCGGTCAGCCCGAGGCTGGGGGCCAAAGTACGTCAAAGGATCGCCAGGGCAACCAAGGGGAAGCAGATCATCAGCCTTGGCCAAACACGCAAACTAAATCATGCTTGACAAACATTGCAGGTTCTGGAAGCTCAGGGCACCATCAGCCTTGAAACATCACACGTGGTGCCATATATGTCGTCTCAAAATGGTGAATGCCGTTGGTTGGGAGCTTCAGGGAAACCAAAAGGAAGCAAACCAGTTTAGGAACCACAATATCCGAAAAGTCGTCTGAATCAGCTCAGGTAAGCTCGAGATTTCGAGATTAATCGGTGCTGCGTGCTGTACTAATACTGCAGTCCGCATGCTTCGAAAGCTTCTACGACGATCACCACATACCTATCGCCTCCCGAGCCAGTCGATGCATTCCAGGCGCAAGTCGTTGAGACACCCCTGGCATCCGGCCACCATTCTTTCAGCGCTTGCGCATGCTCTTGGCCAACACCAAGGGGAAAGTGTCCGAAGAAAACTACCCACATATGAACTTGCTGCTGGGCGTGGCTCGTACTTGGCGACCCCTTGGTGAACATCATTTACATGGCGACCTTTGTCGGACAACCACCTGTGATGTGAGGGTTCCCTATTCAAATTCATGGTCACTTGGCCTCTGCTCGTTGAAGAACGCCAGGAAATGGAGGTCCCAAGCATTGCTCACGTTCTGGAGGACTTGCTTTGCCCGGCATCACACCCCTTGCAGCCCAAAGGCCAAACACGAGGCTAATCTGTTTGCAGATTCTGTGGATTCACCTGGAGCAGAGCACATGCGCATGAGACGCATGCAAAGTCTCCTGGTCTGCACGGCGCAAAAGATGCAGAGACCAGCATGTCCACGTCCACGTATACCTAGAGCGGTCCTCAGGCACGTCGCTCGTCAAACAGAGCAACCCAAGAGATCGAACAAATGAGATTTGCGGCTTCGACGTGTCCCAAGTCGCTCGGGTGATCCTGAACCATTCTGACAATTCAAAGGGGTCGTCGTTTCTAGCTGGCAACATTGGTGTCTGCATTTCCAAAAGCTGATTGTTTGCTATGAAGCCATCACTGTGAAGCAATAGATTGCGATTAATGCCCTCGTCAAGACCCCAAAGCGAGGTCCATCATGATGACAAGACCACTGATTTCCTCCAGGACAATGGTCACCAAATGGGGGTCGCTCAGCAGTATGATGGTCTCTCCACTCTGATAGTTGTCGCGCGATGCGTAAATCCAAAACTAAGCAGACAATGAAGCCATGTTTTGTTTATGCCAGAACCACCCTATCCAAAGACTCGGGGCCCCCCTTTTTTGGGATAGTATTTACAAGGAAGCCTGAAGGACCTCAAGTTCCCCAAGCAACAGAACCGCTCCCTAAACTCGCCCTAAATCAACAGGTGCCAATTTTGGCAAGCTGGTTGTGCCACACAATTGCAAACGGGGGTTGAAACCCGGCCTTCAAGTGTCCAAGGCTCTACCCCAAGTCGGTTGAGTCCCCCCACGTTGAAAACCTCTTGACGGAACCGGACTCAAGTCAGCGGCAAGCTTCATGGACTTCAGCGACGCGTCCGTTGAGGAGAAGCGAGGTTCATCGTACGCAGCTCCACTTCAGCTGCCGCATTGTCAAGGAGGGGCTGCGGCTATCCTCGGCTGCGTGGAGCAATGTGCCAGTGACCAATTCTCATACGGCCAAGTGCAACGGAAACAAGTCAAGCCACAACAGCTTCTCACCTGAACTATCTCCAGGGAGAAGCTAGCCCCTCGATCACCTGAAGAATAGGCCGTGGGCAAATGCAAGTTCAAACAGTCCTTGCTCGAAAAAAATGGTCTGCTAGCTGTGTATCGTGCCGAGTATCGGAAGGCGCTCTCCCCCGCTCTCAGAGTCTCTGCCTGCTCCATGGCTCCGGCTTCTCGCCAGCTGAATCCAATCGGATTCAGAAGTCGAATAATGGCTCTGATGGCCAGTGTGGAAGGCTTGAGCATGGACCAATTCATGTCCCAAGTTGGCCGTGCGCAAAACAGTGAGAAAATGACAAGCTCCAAGGATATGTGCGTAGCACGCCACAGGTGCTTCGCTGGAAAAGCAACCCGTCTGAAAGGCACAGACATGCGTTCATCCAGAATCAGCTGGAACTCATTCGACTACCTTTTGGGATGCTGGAAAACGGCAATCAGTCAAGTCAACCGCCCCAAGCCCCATCGAGCACCCGGCCCTGCAAACCTCCGCGTGCCCGCTCTGAGCTGCGATGTGCAGGGCCTGCGAGGCATAGGTGTCAGCCAAAGGAAACGAAGCTGTATCTCCATATGCTCTTCAATTGGAAAGGTTCCAAAGGAGTACATCATTGGGGCCCGAGCTTGCAGTATTGTGAAGCTAGTTTGTTCATGAGCAGCCAGGGCAGCGACAAATCATGTCGGAGCCCATCTCTGACATGGCTTTGCCATGGGTTGCCAGCTTGGGCGAACAGCCGTGCTCAAGGATTCAGAAGCAGGGTACACACCTCCATCAGCAGCAAGGCCCGGAAACAAGACAACCACTGATTCGGTCCTGTAGCCTCAGTTGGGGCAAGCCCCTACACCAAAGAAAGCCAAGTGAAACAGGAACCGTTGACATCAGTTGACTACTGAAGTGGAATTATGATTCTGGGGTCAACTGTACCTCAGTTCTGAAGACGGGCTATCAACGCGTTTACTTGTTGGATCCACTGCGACCTCTCAGTATCCCACCTGAGCGCCTGCTTTCTTTGAATGACAATTACATTCAGCTTTAATGCAGCCGCTTTCTCACCACGCGAGCTTGCTGGGTTGACTCCTCCCACACATCACACATGCGATCAAATTCATTGGCTCTGTGATCCCGCCCCAACCTCCCGCTTCATCCCTGGAAAAGTACAGAATGAGCCCCGAAGGAATTGAGTTTCCTTGTAAAAGAGCACATGATTGGCATTTGCATTCCGAAGGAAAAACAAGGTTCAACCCTACTGGTTCAATCGAGCTAAGTGATGCACGCCAATCTCCCGAGTTTCCTGTTGGGGTCTCGTTCTCAGGATTCCCATTGCATAGCTTTCAGGGCCAAGTGGATGGCTTCATGTTGACTCAAAAGAGCTGTATGTCTGGAAACGGAAGTCCCTATTTGGCATGGTCTTTCAGTGGAGGATACAGCAAAAACCTTCCAGACCCCAATGCCCCCTGTCGTCCCCGCGCCGTGCGCCCACAGCCATCGAGGCCGGCCATGTCAAGGAACCGCGGGTGCTCAAGCCTCGGACCACCCCGACCATAGGTCCGAATCAGAACCTGACCGGAAAATATAAACGCTTGTTTATGAAAGGGTATATATTTGTTTGGACCCCAGCCGCATCCAGTGCATGACATGTTTAGATGAACGACCAACATGGCACTTGCGTGATGCCTTCAAATCCAAAAGAAACACAGCGCTCAATGCTGGTGTCGGCGTGATGTGAAAGGGGTGAGGCTAGACATGCCCAAGCAAACAATGTGACACCCATGCAAAGCGCAGAGACAGGCCATACCCCTCGAATCCCTCATCAAAGTGGATGCAGGTAGTGGATGGGGCTCGCGGGCAAAGGGGCAACACACTTTGCCAGCACCATGTTCAGCCTCAGGTCAATATGAGAAATGTGACCTCCAGTATCGCAGCCAGCCAAAGCATCAAAGGTTAGCTCTGGACTTTAAAGGAAAGACCCTTTCTTGGGCGTGAGTGCAACATGAAGGCTCGCCCAAAAACACACCATGTACGCAAGACGCCAGTGGGAGCAGGGTTCATTGCTCGTGGGGATGAACGCAAAAAACACGCAGACTGCAGCCCCAGCAAAAGTTGGATCCTTTGCACCGGGGCGCGACATTCGTGCCGAGTTTTGTGTACCGTTCTCCTGGTCGACATGCTTCAGAAGCAACTCAGTTCGCTTGGCTGAGGCCCTGACAGCGCGTGGCACACTGCAGCCTCAGTCAGCCAAACCCGGCCAACAGCCCAAGCCTGCCAGCCTCCCGCAAAACATGCACGCGAATTCTTTGCAAGCCAAATCAAGGCCAACTGCTTGATCATCTGTGTGGGGTCAAAGGACAGCTAGTGTGGAGCGAAGCCATTGAATTCTCTCCAATGCCACAGAAGGAACCCCACAAGAAAATGTTGATAGGAATCTCCGTTGGGCAGCGGACCTGTTTCTGCGGAAGCTTCTGGGGTTGCTCCTATTGATTTGAAGAGGGGTAACTCAGCATGAGCATGCAACTTTCTTGAACAATCCCAAGTCCCTGGCGCGTTGAAAGCGGGGCAAATTGTGCTAGAAGGGCAGGGTTACAATCCTCCCACACTGCAACTCTCATGCGCACAAAAGACCGACACTCAACAAAAGGTCGGTCAATTGGACAGCTGGAGCGAAGCTTTTCCGAGCAAGCACAGTTGCCGCTAGGCGCTTGGTACTTTTTTTTGGGGAATCCTACACCAGTTGCCAACATAATTACCACCAGAAACCGATAGGGGCCTGCCTGAAACCCGAATTGTCCGCTGCTCGCGTGAGGATGTCGAAACAACTGTGCATGTTGAAACAGGTGGGCCCAACCCAGGGACCTTCACTTGCCCCGAGCCCGCCTGACCACAGCTCGCAGCCCAATGCCTGAAGTATCAGCAGCTTTTTGCTGGCTTCTCGCGAGGGGCGGCTGGCAGTTGAACAATAGTCCTATTCCCGGAAACCGCCATTCTTCGCGAGGAAAAAATATTGCGCGAGTTCCGTCGCTACGCCCTTTTTTGGAAGCATGTGCTCTGGAGCCATTGCTGCTGCCGCAGCTAGGCTTGCAAACGCAGTATCCACGCCATGCACTTGCATTGGCAGGCTTGCAGCCACATGAAATGCAAGCCGTCACTAATCACCGTCATTCCCCGTTTCCATGTGTGTTTGCTGGGACTGCTCCATCCTGGGCCCGATGGACAGAACCTTGCAACAAGCTCCATGGGCTTTCGCCAGCCAACGTCATTTGTTTGCACCATTCCCAGCACAGCCAGGGAACCAAGGACGCTAGTACACAAAACTCTTTCGCAGCCTCCATCGCGGATCTTTCGCGGCACAAGCGCCTGCAGTGCTATGGTCATGTTTTGCCTGGCTTCCAACTTTGAGCGAGGGCATCCCTTGAACTGAGCAGATTGTCAGATTGTCAGATTTCATTGAGGGGGACCTGTCAAGCTCACCAAACATGAACTGGTCAAATGGTGAGAAATTATTCCTCCCATGACAGGCAAATAATGAACACGGGCAAGTCACAGTCCACCGCGAACAAAGCATGGAAAAGCCGAGCTGTAAAGCTCGCAACTCGGGCTGTGTCTTCCGGAACATGGGGCCATAGAAATAACGCCGAACATGCAAGGACCTTCACCATCAGTCCCAATACTCCTTGTATTTGTACATGAACTCGCCTTAGATCGTATTCTGATTTGTCAAAAATACAAACAGTTGTTAATCACCCACTGAATAGAGCAGTGAAATTAAACTTGCAATACTGCGTGCCTCATCGCCATTCGGCTTCACCCTACAAGTGTCGACGTCCTCAGCACTCAGCGCAGGGCAACGGAGTGAAGTTGGCCTCTGGACCGCGCGGCGCCAAGGATCATTAGTTCATGGCCCTACAAAGGAAGCTGTGAAAAACCATGTCTCATATAACGATCAGACTATGTTGTATGTTCACCTACATCTGAATGGTAATATGCAAATCGTCATATCTCAGGAGCTCTTGCAGCCATGGAGAAAGTGTGCAAACGATCCCTTGACATCAAGTAGCCTGGCACGCCCGCTGCCTCTGTGTGACAAGCCTGAGATTTCCTCATGTCCAGCTCGATCCAAGCTCGCCCCACTGCCCCTCTGCGTTTCTTCCGAGATGCAGTGCTGGGCTCCACGTGCTGAAAGTCGGGATTCCAAAGCAGAGCCGCACACCTGGGCGAGCCCTCAGGAGGCTGGCGCTTGATTCCGTGTTTGGGCTCCAGCTTTTCAAGGAGCCCGGCGATGTTTAGCCCCGCCTCTGAAGCAGCTCAAAAAATGGCCACCGTTTTGGCAGCGACCCTCCAATTGGCTGTTCTTGCTATCTTTTCCCTTGAATGTGCTCCATAAAACGAGGCCTCCAAAGCCGAACATGGCGTCTTTCTCTCGAGTAGAATGCACCTACTCTGGCATAAGTGCTTCCTTGATAGCCGAGAGGCCGGGAGATTTGAATCAGCCTGTTTGCCCGTTGAGGTGCTCATGTCTGAAAATCTGCCTGTTTCCCTTATTGACCGTCACTGATGCATCACCCATGCTCACTCACATGTCCAAAGAAGATGAAGAAAGCTGCTCAGCGGCTCTCGTACCGGTCCCACGTAAGCCACATCTAAAGCCACGTCGATCGATTTTCCTCTTTCAACCGCCAAGCCAAACACAACATGCTGGCTCAGCCGGACGGCTATTCAAGCCTCTATTTAGTCGAGCATCACAAAGCCGGGGCTGCAACAGGGGTGAATGCTTGATTTGCTAGCGAGCTACTTCCGGCTAGCGGTATACAGCATAAATATGCTGGAGGAGGGCCCCTTGAGACATGCGCGTTTCTCATGTCCCCCCTGGCTTTTTCAATTTGCCGCGGCGCAAGGACCGCATGCCAGACACAGCCGCGTAGTCGAGAAGCGTCAGGCCATCACCATCCTGGATCCCAATGGGTGCTCGAAAGGGCTTCCTCGCGGATAAGTTTGATTGGTTTCACCTATGGCCAGTTCTCCAATGGATCAACCTACCTGCAGAGTTGGCCAGTTGTCCGAGTCCCTTCTATACACTGGTTCGTGATTCCAAGTCAGGTGGAGCAACGCGGAGGAAAGGGCACAGACCGCTCGTGCAAGGCTCACGACCTCTTGGCAAAGTAGCATATGCATTTCTATGTTCAGAAGGCTATGACTGGCACAAGAAAACATCTTTGATCTTCCCAACCTGAGCGAAAGGGTGTAACAAAGGCAAAAGCAGGCAAATGACGCCCTCTTGCCCAGTGGCCATGGCAAGAACGCACTGCAGCTTTTGTTGGGAAGCCCATCCAAATGGGGATAGAGGGCCGCTACTGGACAAGTGGGCAGACATTCAAACTGGCACGCCCAGCGTGCCTTCCAGTTGATCTCTTCCTCCCCCATGTGCGACAAGCAGCGTAAAGCCTCGGCCTCGCTCGGTCTGAGAGAGTCGGAGTTTCTGGTGCAGG